GAAAAATAACAGAAATTAACAATCACTGCTCATAAATATTTCTTAATATCAATAATCTCAATTTATCTATAAAAAGAGACACAGGCAAAGAGAATGGATACAAAAACAGAATTATTCACCGTGATCAGGTTGGCTTCATTGTTGAGATGCAGGGATAGTTCAATATACAAAAATCTACCAATGTAATCCATCATATAAATAAACTGAAAGAAAAAAAAACATATGATCATCTCATTAGGTGGTAGAAAAACATTCAACAAAATCCAACACTCCTTCATGATAAAGGTCTTGAAGAGATCAGGGATACAAGGAACATATCTAAACATTATTTTTTTTAAAAAAAAAACCTCCTTAAGACTTTGAAGCAAACTTTGCAATAAAGCTAACTACGGATTCAAAAACTAAATTTGAAATAAAGATTGGTTAAGGTCTGTCAAAAAAAGCAATATACATCAAGCTGACAGCCAACATCAAATTAAATGGAGAGAAACTCAAATCAATTCCATTTAAATCAGGAAAAAGACAACTCTTTCCATATTTGTTCAACATAGTTCTTGAAGTTCTTGCTAGAGTAACAAGACAACAAAAGGAGAACAAGGGGATACAAATTGGAAAGTAAGAAGTAAAAATTTGGCTGTTTATAGATGATAGTATACATAAGTAAGCCCAAAAACTTGATGTGGAAACTTCTACAGTGGATAATCACGTTCAGTAATGTAGTAAGATACAAGATTAACTAAAAGAAACTGAGAGATAAATCAGAGAAACATCACCTTTCACAATAACCACAAATAACATGAAATATCTTTGGGTGAACCTAACCAAATGAGTGAGAGGCCTGTATGACAAGAACTTTAAGTTGCTGAAGAAAGAAATTGAAGAAGATATCAGAAAGTGGAAAGATTTCTGATGCTCTTGAGTAGGTTGGATCAACATAATAAAAATGGCATTTCTACCAAAAGCAATCTACAGATTCAATGCAATCCCCATCAAAATCCCAATTACATTTCTTTAAAGGCCTCAAAATAGCAAAGCTCAACTTCATATGGAAAAACAAAAAACCCAGGATAGCTAACAATTCTGTTCAGTAAATGAACTTCTGGAGGCATCACCATCCCCATCATCAAGCTCTATTATATAGTTATTAGAAAACCATTGTGGGGTTAGTAATGATAAATACTTTGGTATTGGCATAAAAATGACAAGTCAACCAATGGAATTGAATTGAAGACCCAGATATTAATCCACACACCTATGAACACCTGATATTTGACAAAGAAACTAAAATTAAACAGTGGAAAAGAAAGTATCTTCATCAAATGGTGCTGGCATAACTGGAGTCAGCAAGTAGAAGAATGCAAATAGATCTATGTCTATCACCATGCACAAAACTCAAGTAAAAATATAGGAAGAACCTCAATATAAATCCAGCCACTTTGAACCTGATAGAAGAGAAAGTGGTACATAGCTGTCAATGCATTGGCATAGAAGACAACTTCCTAAACATAGCAGCAGTAGCACAGACACTGAAAACAACAATAAATAAATGGGACTTTCTGAAATGGAGAAACTTCTGTAAATCAAAGAACACAGTCAATAAGACAAAAGTTCAGCCTACTGAATGGTAAAATGTCTTAACCAATGCCCCATCAGACAGAGGACTGATCTCCAAAACATATAAAAAACTAAAAAACTAGATATCACAATTACACATAATCCTATTAAAATTATGGGGTACAGATCTAAACAGAGAATTCTCAACACAAGAATCCCAAATGGCTGAAAGATACTTAAGGAAATGTTCAATATCCTTAACTATCAGGGAAATGAAAGTCAAAACAATTCTGAGATTCCATCTTACACCATTCAAAATGGCTAAGATCAAAAACACCAATGATAGTTTATGCTGGAGAGCATGTGAAGTAAGGGCAACACTATTACATTGCTGGTGGAATTGCAAACCTGTACAGCAACATTGGAAATCAGTATGGCAGTTTCTCAGAAAATTTAGAAACCAGCAATACTCTTGGGCATATACCCATAGGATGTTTAATCATATTATAAGGACATTTGTTCATCTATTTTCATAGTAGCATTATTCATAATAGCCAGGATCTGAAAACAACCTAGATGTCCCTCAACAGAAGAATGGATAAAAATGTGGTACAATTACACAATGAAGTACTACTTAGTGGTAAAAAGTAACAGTGTCACTCATACATGGATATTAGAAATAAAGCAAAGGATAATCAGCCTACAGTCTACAGTTACAGGATAATAACCCCAGAGAAGATAGGAAATAAGTAGGACCCTAAAAGAGACATGCATGGATCCTCCAGGGAAGAAGAAGTAGACAGCTACCAGCTTTGTACACTAAGAGTACATATAGTAGTGACATACATACCAGGGCAGTAATCAAAAGTTCTGTGATTAAACTTAAGATCTGCTCAACAAGAGGGAACCTTTCTAACAACAGTTGAAGCATTTGTCCTTATATCAACAGGTAAGTGTTTCCTTACCTCTCATCAAGGAAATTTCTCTTGCAACAGAACAAATTCAATAAAGAAAAGGCACAATCAATTGCTGGTGGGAACACAAGCTGGTACAACCCTTTTGGATGTCAGTGTGGTGATTTTTCAGAAAATTAGGAAACAACCTTCCTCAAGACTCAATAATACCAATTTTGGGTACCTATCCCAAAGATGCTCATTCATGTCACAAGGACATGTGCTCAACTGTGTTCACAGCAGCTTTGTTTGTCATAGGCAGAACCTGGAAACAACTTAAATGCCCCTTGAACAAAGAATGGATAAGGAAAATGTGGTGTATTTACACAATGGAGTACTACACAGCAGAAAAAAATAATGACAGCTTGAATTTTGCAGGAAAATGGATGGACCTAGAAAACGTTATTTTGAGTGCAGTAACCCAAACACAGAAAGACAGTTATCACATGTACTCACTCATAGGTGATTTTTAAACATAAAGCAAAGAAAGCCAGCATACAAACCACAATCCCAGAGAATTTAGACAACAATATGGACACTAAGAAAGACTTACATAGATATTATCTACATGGAAAGTAGAAAGTATAAAAACACAAGATCTCCAGAGTAAATTGGGAGCATGGGGACCTTGAGGGAGGATTAAAGAGAATAGGGGAGAGGCTGAGAGGGGAGTAGAGAAAAATGTAGAACTCAATAAAAATCAAGAAAAAGAAAGCATATATAAACACTGGACTTGAGAGCTGAGCATTTATTGCTCTCTCTTTGTTGACTAGTGATGCAGTGAGACCCTTTAACTCAAGTTCAAGCCTCTGAAATTTCCCCACTCTGAAGTCAAACCATGAGCTGCAATTCTGCTTAAGTTGATTTTGCCTGACTAATGTACAATGTCACCTTATTACATTAGGCAATTTCCTTTGCTTCGGATAAAATACCATAAGCAAAAACTGTTTGCAGAAGGAAAAAATTTGTTTGACTGAGGTTCCAGAAGACCAAGCTCCCATCATCGTGGGGAAGCACAGCATGTTGAAACAGGAGTCATAGAGTGTGAACTGTAAGCAGATGGGTGTACAAACTATCAGGTCTGACTCCACCGTTATATTTTCTACAGCAAATGTACATAGGCTGAGAAGAAATGAGGGATATCATAGAATTTTTATACCTCCATATATTCAAATATGTAAGCCCAAGGGTCATTTATCACGTAAACCACAGTTTCCCATTCCTACCCTACAGAGTCACATGGCCATATCATAATGTAAAATCCATTAATCCAACATAAAATTTTCCATAATATTTAACAGCCTCAACATTGGTTAAAACTCCAAAGTCTAAGTAAATTCTGAGACTTAAAACAAACTCTTAACTTTGACCCAATGAATAATAATTAAAAAATAACAAAAAATTATAACATAATTACAAATTTCCAGCAGTGGCACAGATATATGCTCCCAGTTCAAAATGGAGGATCGGGGGCTACAGTGAGGGCAAAGTAAGGCAGAAATCCAGCAGGGCAAACCCCAAGTCCTGTAGCTCTGTCTTTGGTGTATAAGGCTTCAGTCACTAAGGAGTTTCTTGACTCCAGACCTCCAGTTCTCGCTTATGCCTGTTCTACTCTATGTAAGCAGCAGCCCTTGGCAGATGCCTCATGTCTCAGACATTTTCAACATCTTGGGAGCATGTGTTATATCTATTCCTATCATTTTGCGGAAGATTCCCATTAATTCCTAGAGTGGCTCCAACAGTTTACACACCCAAACAATGGAGAAGTGTTCTTCTTTCCCATAATTCTCACCAGCATTTACCGTGATTTGTGTTTTTGACCTTGGCCATTCTGGTTGTTTTAGAGTGAAGTCCAAAGTAGTCTTCCTTTGTATTTTTCTTAAGGGTATGGATATATTGATCGTTAAAAAATACATTACTTGGCCTTTTGTATTTATTCTTCGGAGAACTCTATTTAGTTAAATTCCACATTTGTACTGATATTGTTTTCTTGGTGTTTAGGTTTTTTTGGGAGTTTACACATTCTATATAGTAACCCTCTGTCAGATATAAAGTTGGTAAAGATTTTTTCCATTCTTCCTCTTACCATCATCATGGTATTCTTTTCTATACAGAAGCTTTTTAGTCTCTTGTTTTTAGTTCCATTGGTCAACTTTGATGTTAATGCCTGTGATGGTCCTTATTCAGAAAGTCTTCTTTTGGTTCTATAAGTTCAAGTGTATTCCTTACTTTCTTCTCTATTAGATTGAGAGCATTAGATCACGCTGGTTAAATATTGTCTACTACACACAAACTGAGGTTTTATGGGAGGAAGGAATCTCAATATGAGAATTATCTCTATAAGATTGGCTTGTGGGTGTGTGACTATAGGTCATTTTCTTGGATAATGATTGATATAGAAGTGCCAGTCCCATAGATATCATTGCCACTCCTAGACTGGGGACCCTAGGTTGTATAAGAACACAAGTTTAGCAGTGATGAAAAACAAGCCAACATGCAGCAGTGCTCCGTGGCTCTGCTTTAGTTCCTACCTCTAGGCTCTTGCTTAATTTGCTCAGTGATTGATTGCTAAAAGGATTCAGAAGACGGATAATTTAGTTCCTCCCCAAGTTGGTTTCATTCAGTGTTTTATCATAACGAGGGAAGCAAACTAGGACCTAGAATTGATGCTGAGGTCCTTGATCCATGTGCGATTGAGTTTTGTGAAGTGGTGAGATGAAGATTTAATTTTATTCTTCTTCCTAGAATTAAGTTAATGGTCAGTACCATTTATTGAAGATGTTATTATGTCTCCAGTGTTTTTTTTCCTCTTTTTCAAGAATCAGGTTGCTGTAAAAGTGGGATTATATTTGCATTTTCTATATTTATTATTCTGTTACATTGATCAATGTGTTTTCATTTATGGTGGTGTCGTACTGCTTTTTTTTCCTATAGCTCTGTTATATAACAAATGCCCCATTTTCCCTCTCCTATGAGGATGCTAGCTTTGAATCTTCAAATGGCTGTATTTACATTGAAGTGTCCATAGAAGGCACAGAACAGGTAAGGTCTGAGGTAGGTGAACTTTGAAGGGATTTGAAAAAGGAAGAAGAAGGGTAAATGGTATAGAGGAATGAGACAACAAGACTGCAGGAGATATGATTTAAGATAACAAACGATTACATCTGTACACCAATTTAAAATGCCTCTACAGGAAAAATATTAAAAATATTTATGTTTGGTTATTGGTGTGGTTTTTGTTCCAATAGTAGGGATTTTGCATATGTTTATGGGTACTTGTTAATTCTGAACTTTAATAAATCTGTCATTAATATATAAAGCATTAATGCATATGTGTACCAAAAGTAGTTGTATTATATTTTTCTGGCAAAAGATCCATTTCATGGTAAAACTACAGAATATTCAAATGGAGAAAGGAAGGATGAAGAGACACTTTTATCTTATTTACTATAATGACAATTTTGTGTTTCATGTTATAAAAGGAATGTGTAGATGGCCATTATGAACAGCTTCTTAACGACATGCAATGAAATGTGTTTCTTTGTTCTGATTTGTACTTTAAAGCAGGTGATACTGACAGGAGGAAAGCAAAGCTCAACAACCTCAGGAGTCTACAAATAAGAGATGATGATGTGGGCAAAATCCAGAAGTCGATAGTGAGAGAGGTAATGGTATTGCCAATCTCAAAGATAAGGCTGGCCACCTGACAGTACTGGACTTTGGAGTGACTGATTGCCTTTGTTACCATTTCTTTTTAAGTGTCCTACTGGTAGTTAAGCTAGAAAATCTCTGTATAATATTGACTCAGTCTTCTTTGATTTCATACTTTTTTGAAGGGGTTTGCTTTAATGATTGTTTTGAAAGAACAATTCTTAGTTTCATATGAAAACACAAACAAAAAGAATAGCTAAAACAATTCTGAATAATGAAAGAATTGTTGTATATATCACTTTTCGTGATTTCAAGTTGTACTATAGATCTATATTAGAAAAAAAAACATTCTATTTACTCAAAAATAGATGAATCAATCAGTGGAATCAAACTGAAACTTAGACATCATTCACATACCTACAGACAACTTAATTTTCATAAAGAAGCCAAATACACACTGGGAAAAAGTGAGCATTTTAAATAACTTGTAGTTGTCAAACTCGATGGTTAATTGTAGTAGAATCCAAATAGTTCGATACATATCACCCTGAACAAAACTCAAATTGTAGTGGATCAAAAATCTCAATAGAAAAGTATGATTTTTAGTTTAGTGTTTTTATGAGATTCCTTAGTATACAAATGAGTGGATCACTGGTTTTTGTGCTTATCTTGGGTTATTGTCATTTAACTTGTTTACTTTTTCCAATTCTAATGAGCTAGTTTTGTTTTATATTATGTATTTTTATTCATATCCTTTAGATTCCTGTTTAGTTTTAAATGAGAGCCAGAGAGGAGTAGATCTATGAGGGGTTGGGAGTGGGAAGGAACTGGCAAGAGTAGTGGAAGTAGATGTGCTATGTGAGAAAAAAATTCTATTACTAATGAAGCAAAAAGCAGAAAGCATAATAAAAGACTCAGTAATATCTACAACCTGGTTCCACTATAAAATAGACTTATATATCAGTATATTAAAAAAGAACTTTGAAATAAAATGACAAAGTTATGCCCACTTAAGTTTTCACAAGAGAAGCAAAACATAAATTGAAAAGAGTCAGTCTGTTCAACAACTGATGCTCCAAAACTGAGTTCTATCTGCAGAAACACAGAAGTGGATTCATTTCTTCCACCATGTGCAAAAATCCATTCAAATCAAACAAAAGACCTTTGTTTCAAGTTGGATGATCTGAAAGCACTAGAAACAAAAAACATGGAGGATATCCTCAAAACTGCAAGGTAGATACGAGCCTTTCTAATAGAATACCAACAACACAGAACTTTCCCTCAATTTCAGCAGGTGAACTCATGAACTTCACACGCTTCTGTAAAACAATCAAATGCCAGCAGAACAGAGACAGTACGCAGAATGGGAGAAAACCTTTACTAGTTACACTTCAGACATAGAACTGAAGTGAGATTTTATAAAGAACAGCAGAAATTAAGTGCCAGGGAAAGAAAACTACTAATTAGAAAACTGACACATGAAATGAATAGAGAGTTTTTTTGGGTTTTTGTTGATCATTTTTGAGAGAGAGAGAGAGAGAATCACAAATTATCAATAACATGCTCTATATTCCTAATCATCAGATAAATTCAAATAAAACTACTTTGAGATGCCACCTGACCCCAGTCAGAATGGCTATCATCAACAAATCTAAGAATAATTGATAGGATGTGGTGAGAAGACTCTTTACTTACTCTACATGGAGGGAAAGTTAGCACAGTCATGTGTAAATCAGGTTGGATATTTCTCAAAAACTTAAATGTAGAAGTACTATGTCACCTAACTATTTCTCTCCTGGTCATATACCCAAAGAACAACACCATACCTTATTATACAAATTTTCACACTCATGAATTTTTAATTATATTTCTATTTTTGACATTATAATACATTATAACTGTGTCATTATCCTCTTCCCTTACTTTCTTGTACCCTCATGTTTATCACTTCATTATTCACTAAAGCAAAAAATGGGAATGAACCAATATGGCCACCAAAAGATGAAAGAATAATGAAAATTGGATACATATAAGTAGATATATATGAAAATGGTAGAGCTTCAAAGAAAAATGTAATAAGAGCATTCCATGAAAACTGATAAAATTAAAATGTATGCTACTAAGTGAAGTCACACAATCTCAGGGAAAACACTCATTGTTTTCCTCCTGTACAGCACCTACAGCATGCAGATGTAGCCTCACAAGTAGGGAAAGGGAGCAGACAGGCTAAATACTAGGAGATAAGGAGGACTGGAGGCAAGTAATGGAAACAAGCAAGGAAAGAAACTACAAAGTTTACTATTTTTCTAATTGCAACTCCTTTGTACATGTTGTTGTTTGGTGGTAGACAAGTGTATCAAAATAATTCATCAGTGGAGGTTTAAAATCCAGAGTGAAGACCATAGCTTCATAGTGCAAATTCTGACTGTTTGAAGAGAGGTATAGGCTTTGATTTGGCAATTTTTATTTATTTTCTGTCATATTTATTTATCTCTTTACTTATAGTTTTCTGTAACGGGTGTGTGTGTGTGTGTGTGTGTGTGTGTGTCGCTCTGATTATTCTGGAACTCACTCTGTAGACCAGGCTGGCCCCAAACTCAGAGATCTGCCTGCCTCTGCCTCCCAAATGTTAGGATTAAACTTGTGCACTTCCAGCTGCAGCTTGGTTTGGTTAACCTTGTGCAATTTTTTCAAGTTTTTTTTTAAATAATAAAGAGAATCATGTCAAATTAGATTCTCAAAAATAAACCAGAAGGAAACATCTGATTTGTATCTCTGAAATTTGGTATAGACATGATATAAATTATCCAAATGATTGTAAGATTACAAAGACATATATGATTGTTCCTTCTTTAAAACTCATGTAGAAGTTTGAGAGATGGAATCAGCATTTAAGTACTACTTGGAATGGCTAACCTTGCTTATCGTTTTTGTTTAGAAAACCCGAAATAAAGCATTGCTCTTTCACAAGACCAGAGTTCTGTTTTCAGCACCAAATAAGGCAGCTTATATGTGCCTGAAACTCCAGTTCCAGGATGAGCCTGCCTGCAGTGTGTGTGTGTGTGTGTGTGTGTGTGTGTGTGCACATGATCATTTTAGAGGGTACATACCAATGTGTCCATACCTGTGTGATGTCCTACTGTTGAAATTGGTTGTCTTCTAATACTCTCCACACAATTTGTTAAGTAGTGTTTCTCCCTGAACCCAGAGCTAAGTAATTATAGCTAGCTTGTTCTAGTTCTCTCTGTTGCCTTAGTGCTGGTATTAGACACCCATTATGACTGCCTAAGATTTATGTGGATTCTGGGTGTATGAACAATGGTTTTCATACTTCTGTAAACAGAATATTATCCATTGAGCCATCTCACCAGCATCAACCTGATTTTCTCATTTCTGATTCATAAAGCATGCTTTTCTTTGCTCACCTAGCTCCTTCCTCCTAAAGCTACTAAGATATCTAGGTTTCCTGCCCTTGGCTTCACTCAAGAGTCAATAAAATTGGAATCTTAATTTCTTTATGTAAGATTAGTTACTTATAAATTGGACTCTACTCCAAGGTGACACAGCACACAATATAAACAGGAATCACACAAAACTCCTCCCAGTAAGAAGGAGAACATGGACTTTTATTGTGCTGGGAGTAAATTCAGCCTCTGCCCCCAGATAAATAACCCTTCCTGTGCTGTAACTGACACTCTGCAGCCTTGCTTCCTCCAGGAAGGATCACATTCTCCCTGCACTTTTGTCTGGAGCAGCCACCTGGCCTCAAGAGACAAGTAAGTGGAAGAGTAGGTAGGAAGTAGGGTGGACAGATAAGTACAAAATAGAATAAATGGAATAGGCAATGCAAAATGGAAGCTGACGGAAAAGATAAGGAGCCATTACAATTATGGCATGCTGAAGCCACAAGCACTGTTTAGCACTGAAACTAAAGTTTATATTTCTGTTCCACTAAAAAGAGGGACAAAGTCAACCCTGAGGAAAATAGACTTTACTATCTCCAATTTCCATCTTCAAGAGTTAGTGATGGAAAAGAATTTTATTTCACTCAAGGGGAAAAAGAGAAATTTCTCACTGAGCAGTCTTTGTTTTCAGTCATAGAGGTTCATATTTTCTTACAAGGATTTATTGGACCTCAGACCTTTACTTCTTGGACCCAGAAGCTGTATTTTCTTTTCAGACAAATAAATTTCTTTTTCACAAGTGACCATAGATAAGCTGAGGTGAAGGGGGGAGACATGTGTGCCTCTCTTTAGACATTAGCATACATGCGAAAGAGATAAGTCGATAAAAGGTAGGGGAAATAACTTGAGATGGAAGGCAAAGCAGTATAAAGCAAACCTATTGTAAAACCTGGCCATTTGGAGGAGGGAAAAGGAGAAAGAACTATCTCAATGTCTTCCTTGTATTCACAAAGCTTGGAAACGTTAAAAAAAAGACACATAAACCAGTGGTGGTGGCGGCTCATGCCTTTAATCCCAGAACTTGGGAAACAGGGTCAGGTGGGTCTCAGTGAGTTGAAGGCCAGCCTGGTCTACAAGAGCAAGTTCCAGGATAGCTAGGCCTTTTGCACAGAGAAATGCCATCTTAAAAAAATAGACATCATAAGTCCATATTTCACCATTCTCTTAAAACTATTACCCCATAAACAAGCTAAAAGCATGGGAGAATAAAATTCTAAGCCAAAATCTAACTAGGTGGTTAATAGGAACAACAACAACAACAGCAAAAAGACCAGGTTTAAAGTAGGAGCACTTCTTTGAAAGGATTATTTCTATTTCCATCCATTTGCATGCAAAATTCAAGATGTCATTGTTTTTTACCACTGAGTAGTACACTAATGTGTATATATTCCACACTTTCTGTATCCAGTCTTCCATTGAGGGGCACCTAGGTGGTTTCCAGGTTCTGGCTATTACAAATAATGCTGTTATGAACATAGTTGAACAAATGCTTTTGTAGTATGATAGCGCATCTCTAGGGTACATTCCCAAGAGTGGTATTGCTGGATCCTGAAGTAGGTTGATCCCGAATTTCCTGAGAAACTGCCACACTGATTTCCAAAGTGGTTGC